TGTGTGGTCACTCTTAGCTTCATTTCTCCCCATAGACCTTACTGGCATGGGTGTCCCTACCAGGAGCTTGTGCTCCAGCCTGCATTGCCCTATGGATCAGTAAAATTACTGTGCTCTCCCACCATGACCAGGTGGTGACCATGGGAGAGTTATTATTATTATTAGTAGTGGTAGTTAGTTAGTGTGGGCTACCTTGACCTTAAAAAAAAAAAAAACAGCCATCCTCTCAAATTTCACACAAGGCCCATGCTAACAGGTGTAAGCTGAAATAATTTACACAGTTTCTTACATTTAATGTGTTTATATGTTTGCATTTTTTAAAATCAAATAACAATAAAATACACATAAAAAAAGAAAGCACTTTTGGAATTCCATGAGTATGTGGTTAGAAAGAAGACAAAATGAAGACATGTAATCATAATTTTTGATGTAACACTGACAATTTCACAGTTTTAGAATAAAAACTGTGAAATTGTCAGTGTTACATCAATTTGTCAATTGTCATTTGTTTTTACCTGAGGTAACTTGTTAATTTTTTAATGCACTCTCTAGAGAGGGATGTATAACCTCACTTAAACTGGTATGCCTGTAATCCTCCGAGGATAAACTAGTATGCCGGTTTTTACCATATGGAAATATCTGATTTAATGGTCTCCCCAGATAGACTGGCATGCCAGTCATTCTATGAAAATAGAGTATCATATCATATACTCCTGTTAAAAATCAATCAAATTAAAATAATATGTACAATTTTAAAAATCATCTGTCAGGAGCTTACAAAGATTGCAGAAACTGAATTATATATTAAATCATTTAAGATACAAAAAAAAACTGTCATATTTTTAGTCAATCATCGTAGAATCAGAAGAATACTTTGTAAAGTAAATTAATTTGATTTAACAATAAAAATTTTAGTATATTTAAATAAAAACAACAAAATATAACATCTGTAAACTGTATAATAAATTTAGATGGCAATGAGCTTTTGAAAATTAGTACTTAAAAGTTAAAAACTTACTACTATTAAATCATACTCTAATAATGTTTGAGAAAGTATCAGATAATTACAACAATCCTATAATTTTAAAGATTTACTGTTTCATCAATGAAATATTGTAAAAATGATTAACAAATGTACAATTATTTACCTCTTTTGGACTATGCACTTTTGGCCAAAATTTTAACAGAGTTGTAATTACCTGAAAAATAAAAAAAATTATTTGAAGTTAATGATAATATACTATTTAATTCAAATAAAATAAAATACATAAATAAATTGTTTTACCGGTTCTGTTAAGCTAGGATCTTTTTCTAAAAACTGCACAACACAATAAGCTAATTGAGGATGATATACACTAAGAGATTTGACTTTGTGAAGGGGCATTAAAACTTTCAACAAAAACAATTTGTGCTCCTCTTTCAAAGGTAGTGCAAATCCATTAATAATGCTGTAATAAAATAATTTTTCAATTAAACTTATTTAAATTCAATATTTAAAACAAATAGTACATATTTTTTCAAATGTATTGTAAAGGTTTTTAAAGATGTTAACCTTTAAAAAACTTTACAATACATTTGAAAAAAAAAAAATGTTTGTTACAGAGCATTTGGTACATTTGAAAGTAAGAAAGATAAAACATGAATGTGTACTGGTTTTAAATTGGTCTTTAAACTTTCATAGATTTAAATTTTAAAATAAGTATTCTTAATAATTATTAATTCTATCTTACAAAATGAAGTTCATTAAGGGTAAAACAAGTTTATAAGGAGTCAGTCATATTCCATAGAAACTTGCTAAAGAACTTTAACTTAAAATAATTCATTTTTCTTCTTAAAATTAAAAAAAATATATTTGCAATTTAATTCTATGGTTTGATTTTATGACAAAAAGATTGTTGTAAAGTTATAGTGTTATCCAAGTATAATGAATCCTTTTCGAGAAATATATTAATAAATTTACTTAACTTTTACAATTCAATATAGACTGACTATGTTTAATTATTTAAATAACTATAATTCAGAGTAATAAACTTATTACTACAAAAATACATTTAACATTTAACAAATTATAGAATTTATGTTTGTAATCAAAATATTTTTTTTATTTTCAGGTAATTTGAATTTAATAAATGATTACACAAAACATTTACTAATTTATATAAATTTGTTTATTCTAGATTTATAAATCAACAAATTTTACCTTCCTAAAATTTCTAATAATTCTGCAATTCCATTATGATGTTCTGTTTCATAAATAAACCTACAAAAAAAAAAATCAAATTAATAAATAAGTTTTGATAGCAGATCTTCAATTACCAATCAAATATTTTTTATATTTTTTACCAATCAAATTATTATTCAAATACATATAAAACAGTTCTATTTAAAAATTAATTATATTAATGACTGGATAAAGCTTAATATTAACTTATAGATAGTAATGGAATTAAATTTCTCAACTAGTTCTAGGATATTGCTAGCATGTTTGATCAATTACATTCCCCAACTAGTAACAAAGTTAAAAAAGAAACTTTCTGCCTTGTGGGCACTAAGAAGGTCTCTATTGCATGCTCATGAGTTTAGCCAGGCCCATAAAAATGTATATATTATTCCTGCAAATAATTATATAAACATCTATTAACTCAATTTTTACATTAATGCCAAACAATTGTAGGATTATATTGAACTATAAAGCCACTATTTAATAATTTAAATGTCAAATCATTTGGTCTAGATGTTGGCATTAGGTGCCATCTCTTGATGAATTTAATAATTAATTTAGAAGGTTCTGGAAGAAAAGAATTGACCAAGAGCAGGACTCAAACCTGCAACTCCTACTTACTGTATGTTACCAGTTTACCAGTTATGTTATCCAGACCTCTGTCTCAACTTCGCTTCCAGAACTATTAATTTAGATATAATCATACTGATTAATCATGGTGCCAATTGAAAGTCGTCATTTAATTAAATAGTAGCATTGTCATAGCCTGATGTAATCTGACAACTGTTTGAAAATAATTATGTAAAGTGAGTGTGTGTAAAAACATAGCTATTTAAACATGTACTGTACATATTTCAATGTAAAACATTCCAGAAAATTTCCACACTTGTCTAGATACTGAAAAATCACAAGTAATATACTGAAACATGCATAACAATTCCATTTCATCAATTAAAAATCAAAACAAGCATATCAAAGAACTTAATGATAAATTTATCAAAGTAATCTTAAATTTTCTGATTCAATTGTCACAGAATTCTAATTTTTAAAGCTTTGCTGTAGATTATTTTTTAAAAAATTAAAATAAAATTTCTCTTATTACTAACATTTGCATATTATAGTTAATTACATAGAGTATTGAAAAATAATTTAACAAAATGTTTTCTCATATCAATTATTATCTTTTTCAAGATGATAATAAATATGAGAAACCTTGAAATTATTATCTTTATAACTAAGAATAATCATATCTTGGGCTATTTACACATTAAATAAAACATTAGAAAAAATTTTGATGCATATATATTAACCATTTTGCAAATGAAGAAATTTCAAAACAGGCTATACAGAGGGGTGCAAAAGTAGGTAGGCCTATACAGTTGTTATCACAGAGAAAATATTTACATTTTATGCATAAATTAGATCACAAATGAGGAATATGAAATAGTAAAAGATAAAAGTAGTAGTAGTAGTAATTCTTACTCAGGGCATCACCTACATGAAACCTAAAAACAACAACACCACAGACCCCACACAATACAGACCAACTACATGTCTTCCAACACACTAAAATTATTGACATCCTGTATCACAAACAAAATATACAAACATGTTGAAGAACACGACATTCTTACAGAACAAAAAGGTTGCCGTAGAAATCACAGGGGATGCAAAGAACAGTTACTCATAGATTCAGTCATTCTACGGCAAGCACACAAACAACACAGAAACATACACATGGCATATATAGACTACAGAAAAGCATTCGACAGTGTTCCACACAGTTGGCTGCTACATATTCTACACATGTACAAAATACATCCATCACTCATTGCATTCTTCGAAAACACTATGCAGCACTGGAGAACAACACTGCATCTCAGGGTTAGTAACACTTCCATACAAACAAATGAGATATTCACTAGGCAAGGAATTTTTCAAGGAGATTCCTTGAGTCCTCTCTGGTTCTGCCTAGCCCTGAACCCATTATCCAACATGTTAAACAACACACAATACGGCTACAATATCAGACATGGAAAAACAACACAGTTTATGCTGTCACATCTCATGTACGTCGACAACATAAAACTTTATGCATCCACACAGAAACAACTTCAGCAGCCCCTACAAATCACACACACATACACTAAGGACATACAAATGGAGTTTGGCTTAGACAAATGCAAAACACTTCACATAGAAAAGGGAGTCCTGAAGAAAGAAGATTTTGCACTTGGAAATAAAGATGTTATTGAATCCATGGAAGAGGGTGAGTTCTACAAGTATTTAGGATAATACAGAACATACACAAATAAAGCAAAGATTAATTAATTAATTAAAGAATACCAAAGTACATTAAATGCTATTCTCAAAACACAGCTAAATGCAAAACACACAGTTAAAGCAATAAACACATATGTCGTCCCAGTACTCACATACTCTTTTGGCATTATACATTGGACTCGCACAGATCTTGAGCAACTCCAAAGGAAAACAAGAATAACACTTACTAAGCATAAACAACATCATCCTAAATCCGCCACAGAAAGATTAACCCTTCCACGTAAAGATGGCGGACGTGGCCTGATTGACATAGTTAACCTTCACTACAAACAAATACAGTCACTGTGAGAGATTTTCTACAGGAAACAAGAAACATCACAATTACATAAAGCAGTAACTCTAGCAGACTCAAATAGCAAGCCATTAAACTTACACTCACAACATACAGACATAACACAACACATAAAAAGCATAGACACCATCAAGCAATCGTGGGCTCGAAAGGTCCACATCCATGGCAGACATCCTTATGACCTGGTCCAGGATTTTGTTGACAAAACTGCATCAAACAGTTGGTTAGATCGGGGATGCCTCTTTGGGGAGACGGAAGGATTCATGATTGCCATACAGGATCAGGTCATAAATACTAAAAACTACAGAAAACACATACTCAAAGATACAACACTCACAAATGACACATGCAGAAAATGTCACATCATGCCAGAAACTATACAACACATCACTTCTGGTTGCAAGCTCTTGGCACAGACAGATTACTTACATAGACACAATCAAGTAGCAAATATAATACACCAAGAGCTTGCAAAGAAACACAAATTGGCAGACATCCACGAACCATACTACAAGTATATTCCACAGACAGTATTGGAAAATAACACGCACAAAATGTATTACGACAGAGCCATAATCACAGATAAAACAATTTACCACAACAGACCAGACATCACACTCATTGACAAACACAATAAAATCACATACATTATAGACATAGCCATTCCAAACACTCACAATGTACAAAACACATGCACTGAAAAAATTAGCAAGTACACAGAACTCGCCCAGGAAATAAGGCATCTGTGGAGGATGGATAGGGTGCTTATTGTACCTGTTGTTCGCTCCTGTACAGGTGTGATACCACACACACTACACAAAAGCCTGGGAACATTACAATTGAATAGAAATACATACATAACACTACAGAAGGCCACTATATTGAATACATGCCACATTGTTAGGAAATTCCTGAATACAGACACACACACTGACACACTTATTTAATTTTAGTTTTGTTTTGGTTGCTATGCCTTTACCTTGGTCCGGCATAGTACACAGCCACCGGTGTGAACCGAGTATAACTCACAAAATTAAATAATAATAATAATAAACACCAAACATCTGTATTTCTCATGTTCACAACTGTATACCTACTTTTGCACCCCCTGTACTGTACATGTACATTGCATTCTCTAATGTTTCTAGAGTGGATTATCAAAGAGAAGGAGTCTGGTAGAAAAGCAAACCTTCAAATTAAAGCTAAGCTAGGAACTTGTCTCAAACTAATAAATATATTCATTGTGCTATTGATTATTAGATTATTAAAAATAAAATTGCTTTTTCTGGGCACCAAAGTTTACTTTTATGCAAGGAATATTTTCAAGCTATCTTATCATCATCAGCTTTACGATACAAATTAAAACTGAATATCCATCATGAACATGTTAAAACTGAACAAAAATTTTTAAGTTTAATGAAATGAGTAATGTTTAAGTTATACATTGAAAAACAGTATTTACATTTAATTTGACTGCTGTTTGCCTACACTCATAATGCTAAAAGATTATCATGAATATTTCATTGGGACTATATTAAGATTCTTTGAAATTTTATAAAAATGAAAAGCAATAGGTTGTGAAATAAACAATTTATTATCCTTTGAGATACTATAACTCCTAAGATTTAATACTCTGCATAATAAGGATCAGGATAATGAACCTAGATTATATTTTAGGTGTGTAGTTTAGTTATAGTTTAATTAAATTTATTTATTATAACAAATTACATTGATAATGCCAAAAAGTAGTTATGGTCTCTTCAAGTATACTAAGAATAACAAATTATTTTTGCTTTTTATTGAATGGGTTGTGGAAAATAACTTTCTAACTGAAAAGTAAATTATGTAAATTTAAAACTATAAATCAGTCATAAGTTTTAGGTTATTTGGTACTTTAAGTCCACAGACATTAAATTCTAAACAACATTTTCAAAAGCTATCTTAAGCTAAACTATGCAAAAATAATTTTAATTAAATTATCTTACAACACCCTGTACATAATTTAGTAACATATTGAAATAAAATTTTATATATAGGGGAGACCGGGGCAAGATCGGCATGTTAAGCTTTACTTAAATTTTGTGTAATAAATACTGCTGTAAACTGAAAAAAAAGCTTTGCATATTGTCTATTGGAATGTTACCTTACTATAGAACTGGTTAAAATCAGTTTGGAAATAAAAATAATTAAAATAATTACAACTTTACAAGAAGAGAGAAATTGACGAAGTTGCCCCGGGTATAGGGGCAAGATCGGCAACTTCTCTCTTTTTGTAAAGTTGTAATTATTTTAATTATTTTTATTAAAGTTGCCCCTGGTATAGGGGCAACAGTAATGGGGCAAGATAGGCACGTATATAAAATTATGTTATTAACAATGTATAAGTTGGAATTCACTATTAAAA